AAATTTAAGTAGGCATACTTTTCCAGACTTTCCAAATTTTTCCAGCCCTCCCAATTTTCGCGGCATTGTCAAGACAGACTAGAGAAAACCAGAGGTGGAGTTAGACGTCGTTGCTAATGGAAATAGACAGCCTGTCTGCGTGTGTGAAACATGACTTGGATCCGATAAAACGCACCAAGGTCTCATGCAGTGGGAGTGTGATGACTTGGAGCCCATAAGTATGCTATGTATGCCAGGATAATTATCTGCGAACTTCAAACCGCTCCGTTGCTTCGGGAGCAGAAGTTGGGGGTTATCTAAGTCAAAATTGTTTTTTTTATATTTTAAGTGGCCTAAATCAATTTCTCGACCGCAGGACATAACGTACTAGGGCTTCGCGACATTTACACGTGTTTCTGTTAGGCTAGCATACAGATCACGAATAAAGTCCGTAAAAACCGAGTAGGCCTGAATGAAGTAATATTTGTCCTTACATGAGTCCGTAAAGTGCCGCGAAAAGGATCTGTCCCAAAGGATCACGGAGATGAAAAACGAAGAACTCGCAAAATCCCAGAATATTAATGAACTCTCAACCGTTGTAGAGAACTGCAAGTTAAAAAAATTAACAAGCATCAATGGTACTTTTGTAGAAAGAAAATGAGAAATTAAGGATGGAGGCTGACAATAGTGCAAACATTTTGAAAGAGCTGGATAAAGTCTGCAAAGCCGCGAAAAGCACATTTATACAGTTTCTGGTATCCTTTTCTACTCCCCTCTCTATATCCTTTCTGGAAGCAACAAGCGGAAGAACTGAAAGAAAATTATGCAACCCTGGTGAGTCGCTGTCAGGAACAAGATAATACACTGGCCAAGGAAAAGTAGAAACTTCCATTTTACCTCTTAATTTTTTCCCCACATAGTATCATGGCGGCGGAGCAGGCTGCGTACGTGGACAACCTAGTCAAACAAGTCAAAAGCTTGGGAAAAGAGGGGGCCCAAATGAAGGCTAAGCTTCAAGAGTCCGAGAAGCACGCTGAGGTTAGTTTATATTTGCGTTGAAATTAGAAACCTATCAGTATTTTTACCCCAATTAATCGTACTGCCATTAATAATGTGTTTGCTTGTCAAGTGGGCTTTTTCTAGTTTATGCCTCCTAAATATTCATGCTAGCATGCTGATTAACATTGGGGCCGCCCTTTATGTACATACGAGTTTGCCTCGCCTCACTGGTGACAGTGGTTCTCGTGTTCAAGCATTGTCTACCAGTAGATAAAGATATTGAGCACGCCTAAGTTCGTGTTCCTGCCGCGCCAGCTACCTGCACCCTTTCCTGCCTCCGGTCTTCGTGACTCTGTCATGACACTGGAAGCGAGAGTAACAGGACGATGTTGGATGCTGCACAAATCTACTGTCTTTGGAAACTAAATCACACGCACTGTCCCTGTCTTTGCGCTCACCT